ACGGGAAAAGATCGTATGGTCTTAATTCCAATGTCATGACGGAAAATGCAGACCAAATTCATACTAACCTGGGAAGTTTGGCGTTGTCATCATCCTGCTGTTAGGCTAACACTTCTTTTTAAGTCAGATTTAGAACAAATTCCTGGTTGCAATAGCAGGATCGTTTTGATCACATTTATTGTATTTCAGAAACAGCAGTGGGGAATTTTCTGCTGTTGGTGGTTTTTAGCAACTGGCAAAGTTAGACGACTTCTTTGGTACTCAGAGCTTGTTAAGTCTCTTGATCTCCTTTAACTGACTGTAATGATGAGGCAGATGAAGCCTGGTGAAAATAAACATTTAAAGGAAAACATTGAGGATAACAGTGTTACTGCTGCAGCTAAAAGGGAACACTTCTGAGTGTCAAAGCAGATGTTGACACATGGAAAAATCCAAAAGCTGTAATTCCTACAAGCTTTTTGTTTCTTCAAGTTTCAAGCACTTGGCTTGCTGGGCAAGTCTTCTGCCAGGAGGCACCTGGGCAGCTAGTTCCAAACTAACTTTGAATCCAAAGCCCCAAGAAGAAGGCAGGAGCACCTGGGCTGCCAGAGTCAGCTCCAGTTTTGGGGCACGTTGCTGCTTTCCTGCTTGTGGGTTCGGGATTACGGAGCCATGTGATGCTGAGCAGATCAGGGTAGGTTTGCCCGGTCTGTTGTAAGCTGCTGACTTACCTGCTGCTCCTTCTCTTCCTAATACTTACGTAAAGAATGCCTGTCCCTTGGCTATCTATTTTCAAAATTGGAAAATTCATATTCATACATGAAGGAGTGAAATGAATATATATGAAGTGGTAGAGTTGTCAGACCATAAAAGTAGGTGTGCTGTTGGCTGTATACATGGGTAAGCAGGGAGCGCGGACAGAAGTCAAGTGACTCAGACCGCTGGATTTTACTGATCCCTGGCATAACCCGTTCCCGTTTCCTCTGTGTGCCTTTCAGGAAAGGGAAATAAATCACTTCAGCATCAGAAATACCCTAAAAATATTGCACTTGGAAGGACTTATTACAGCCTTCAAAACTTCAGAGGCACAGAAAGGGTGTATTTGGCTAAAGAAAAGAGAAATTTAAAGGTCCAGGTTGTCCAGGGAACTCCAAAGCAAATTACTTTATGCCTGTAATACAGGGCAGGGAGCCACTTTCTTAGAGAAAAAAAGCATCACCTAGAAAGTGGGCTGTAAGTTCCAGTTGTGTCTTAGAAATGCATAGTACTGCTCTTGTTTAACCTGAGTCTTTTCATATTCAAAGAAGTTTGGTTAATTGTGTTTCCTCGCTGATGAAGAGTGAAACTAGAGAGATGAGTATTAAGCATTAATTCCTGAAAAGATTAGAAACTCCTTTTAACCAACATCTTCACCGTCTCACTGTCCATTCATTAAGTATCATTATATTCAACTTCATGAAAGGCAGTTATTCCCCTTGGCTGTTGGTACCATTCCCAAAGCATCTGAGCTATTAAATTTTTGGAACATGTAGAAGTTACCCATCTGTATAAAAGTCACAGGGTCTGGATACTATGCTTTTTTCCAGATCATACGTTTAAACTTTTTCTTATTTTGAGGCAGGTAGAAAAATACTTTGCAGTCCTTGTTTTTGCACTGAATGTGCTTGCAGAGTTCTTACAATTCATTAATCTGGCAAGGCATCCAGTACAAATTTGTCATGTTTTTTAGTAAGAAAAGTCAAAGAAATTACACCTAATCGATAACTGGCCTAATACAATTCTTTGGACTGCAATGAGTCGTTGTAGAGGAGAGGCTAGTATACTGGCATTCCGTATTGGGTAGATGTATGATAGGGCAATAAATTCAGATAGCGTTGAGTACTGTTAGAATTACATGCATTCAGGATATTTCCTGGTTTTACTCCTCCCAGAGCAAAACCTTGTAAGATTGTCTTGAGAAAAATATACCTTCATTATATTCTCCTTTCTCGTAAACCAAAAATCTGCTCCAATAATAATGTTGTATTCATAAAGGCAAGGCGGTTTCTGAGAGCCAAGACAGTTTTAACTTTGAAGGGATGGGAAGGAAGGGAAAGAAAGCAATGGCTGGAGATCTGTGGCACCAGTAATTTTTAATCTCCTCCATACTAACCAATGCATAGTCGAGATTATTTTTTTTTTTCATTTATTGTAAAGTTTATTTATTGTAAATGCATTTTTCTCAGCAGAATTTAGAAGGTAGTACCTTTCTTTCTTTCACCTCACTGTTGCATGCAGGACGTCAGGCATCGTTTGTTTTGCCATCTTTTTGGAATGAAACACTCCTGGGTAGAGGACGTTGCGTGTAATAAAAATTACAAAGCTTTCAATCTGTGATTACACAAACTATGTTTCAAAATACAAAAACCTATCTTGTTTTGTCCTGGCATGTAAGAAACTTGTCCTGTTGGTATAGTGGGTAAAAGTCATCGTCTATGTCTGTGCTTCGGTCTTGGTTAGAAAAACTCACGATCTAGTTGTCGAAGATGCCAAAGGCATCCAGCTTCCATTGACTTATGTAAGATTTATGAGTGCTTAAAACCAGTGAAAATCTGACTGTTAGTTTTCAGTTTGATGCAACTGCAGAATTATTCTAATCTATCAGATTGCTGAGCTTCTATGTAGAGGATGAAATCTGTTCATGTTAGTGAAACGGCTTTCCATTGATTTCAGCATGGCTAGCTCTTAAGAGTAATATATTTCATGTCGCGTATTCTGAGCAATAAGTATGGAGAACAATCTATTTCAGCTGTAGTTGATCTTTTTTATCAAAGGACTAGTCATGTGCCAGAAACCTGACAGCAAAGCCAAAAGCTGCATCTTCCACTACGTGTGCAACGGGTATTCATACAGAAACATGTTTCGTGTGCAGACAAGTATCTGCAATAAACCAATTAGCGTACATACATGAGATGTTTTTGCAAAATGCTGTTTGCATGTTTTGTATAACAATATGGTCTTAAGCTCCACTTTTCTTTCCCTTTCTTTTATTTTAGTAGCTTAAGGAAAAAAGTATTCTTCCATGATAAAATATTTATAAACTATGTCAAAGAAAAGTTAGAATGCTAGACCTAAGGCGAATTCCACACGGGTTATGGTGCAACTGCTCCTCTTCCTTTTTACAGTTGTCGTTTTTGAGTTTGGAGAATCATGTCCCCACAGATCTGCTGAACGGAGAATACTCTCGTGTCTGACTTGACGGGCTTAGCAACCTCTTTGTTAGACTCCCCAGAGAGACTCCTCGGTTGTTCCTGGGAAGGCCCCATACAGATTTATACATCTAACTGAAATGCTGAGCAGCAGAGTGTGCAAGGCTTCTCGAGTCTTTACCGTCACATTTTTGTAAATGTAATAATCGAATTTGGCGTGGGTTAAGTACTTCTGTTGCAGTAACATCCCGCCAGCAGAGGCATTGCTGGCTGCAGCTAGGAGCATCTGTCCTTTCTTGCTGTGGATGCGGGTGTCTCGCTGTTAGGGAAAAGCTCTGTGCCTTGTTAAGCAAGAGGAAGGTGTCACGTGTATCTGGATGTTGTTCTGTGGGCTGCCGTCGTTTCGCTAAGAGTGGCTAAAGGATTAGAGGATACAATCCCGTCAGCTCCTAACTGGGTGAGGTATGTTACGTGTCCAACAGTATGCCAGAGACAGCAGCCGTATTGCTAGAGTTGTTAGAGTTATTTCAGTCTCGGGTGTGTGAAAATCTTTACGGTGTGTTTACACAACTGTCAGTGCTGCTCCTGTAGATGTACGTAGGCTGATGAACTGATTGTGGTAGCACAGAGCTCGCTCCGTGCTAACGTCTTGAGAGGCAAGTGGGACTTGCCTTTCTAGTTTAAAGCTAGCTCGCATATCTGTAGGCAGAAATACTTTTAGAAATGAAGCTACACCAGGAGAAAAATCCTCCTGTTTTATTTTGACACTTTGAACTTGTTTACCTACTACCGTTGTGCAGCCACAAAGTATTTTAAAACATTATTAAGATATTGATGTAGGGCAGCTCCTTGAGAAGCTGCTAAAGAGAACACCGGAGTAACTTCTTAATTTCAGCATTAATATATTAAAATATTTTATTCATAAACTGAACCAAAGTGGTAGGTGGTTGTACGGTTTTTAAAACTTCCTTTTCTTGGTTACCACCACATCCTGAAGTTACGTTATGTGATGGCTGTTGCTGTCTGCATCAGTACAGACTTCAGCAAAAATGCTGGATGACACAGCCTGCGTTATTGTGAGGAATTGTTCCTCGTGATCAACAACGTCTATTCTTGTCCACCAAGTGTCATCTCTGTTATTCATTTTTCATTTGTCTAAACTAGAAAGTAAGAATGTGCTATCTTAGCAATTTGTGAAAGTATCATCTATATACCTGACCCTTCTTAATATCTAAGAATAGAAACACTTTTTAAATGCAGATGTCTCTAGGTCACAGTTGCAGACAGAGTACAATGTAGGAGCCAAAACAAGGTTGAAAAAAAACCTTTTCTTTCATGCTGCAACTTTGATTTCTCACAATAAACCTTGGGATGCTCATTGTGCATGGGCCATTGACAAAATCTAGGATGAATTCAATGCGATTTTTGCAGTTAACTTGTAAAAGCATTGAGATTTCCATCGTGCTGTTTTAGCCCACACAGAACAGTTCAGGACAGTATAAACCGTGCATTTTTTGGACAGGGAGGGATAATTAATGACAGCATTCACAAATATTAAATGACTTCCATCTTGGCATCCTTAATGAAAGTTAAGTATTCTTCCTTTGTCACAGTTACGCTGAAATTCAATTCTTATTGATGAGAGAGAGCGCAAGATGTAATGGAGAACAATGAGAGGCAAAAAATAGTTTTCCTTGCTTCATATTCTGAGTACTAGTCTGAACTCAAAAGCGGGGAAATTGCAATATACAGTTAAAAACATGCAGAAGATATGAGCTACAGTGATATCTAGCTGTTTTACTAAATATGACATTTCGTTTTGCTTCTTTAAAGGTATATGACCGATGGTGGTCTGGGCCTCTATACTCGAAGGCTAAACCGGCTGCCTGATGGCATGGCTGCAGTGCGGGAGACGATGCAGCGTAATACTTCACTGGGACTCGGAGATGCTGACAGGTAAGGTCTCATTCAGCAAACGCTCGCATATAATGGCGCGTTTGATTCACGCTGTATCCAATGCATATTGGATCTCTAAGATGAAATAGCTTTGGGAATTCAGATACTGAATACATGGGTATAAGTTTCTCCAGAGTATTTTAGGTTATATGGTCGCAGAGGTGTCAGGATAAATGCTGACTTTGTCTTCTGATTGCTTTGCTGAAATCTCATCTGGGCTTTTATGGACAGGACGCACCACAAGAAAACGTAAAACTTCTATTTTAATAGTGTGAAATAAAAAAGACCTAATTCTCCTCTCATTTCCACTGATTTGTCCAAGTCCAGTGATTCAGCGTGAACGGTCAAGGTCAAAGATCAAGAATTAGGGGACTAAAAATCCACAATTTATGGGAGTGCAATCATAAAGGAAGACGGGGAGATGGACAGCAGAGAGACCTATATTCTGTTAGAGTTGAGATAAATGGGTTAAATACTTTTGCTTTTAATGGCGTCAGCCTATAGCTGCTTCTTTCCTTTCCAAACCCAAAGCCTGATGAGTGTTACTGTTGATGTAGTAAGTGAACCGTATCCTTTTTCTTCCGTGAGGGGCCCCTAAGTATAAAACATGGATTCTGAGTTACAGGTTTGAACCAATTTCTGAACTAAAAGTTTTTTCTCTTTTTGTTTTGTTATTGATGAGTGTTTCCTGGGACATAATGCAGTTGTCAGAGTGTGATATGACTGATACTTTCTTGATAGTGATGCATGAATTACTAAGGAAATAGAAAGCCACGCTAAATTTGCTTTGGTGTTCTCGTGATATTAGTAAAGAGCAGGATGGTAAATCTAAACAAAAGAACTAAAACCTCTCAGAGAATCTCAGCTCAGTTTCAATCACTAAGTCAACATATGCTTGCCAGTTGTAAAATATGCCTGGATTTTTCAGGAGCTCATATCGCTTTCTGAAATTTGCAACTTGAAACCCGTACTCAGCCAACAGCACTGGCTCCTGGTTGATCGCGGGTGAAGACATTGCCACCTGGTGATGCAACTGAAGACTAATCAAGTATCATCCTCGATGGTTGCTGTGGCTTCTGAACATTGCCATGTTAACAGAAGCTATATGTTTACAATACAGAATTGGTCTAATATAAATTATATTATTGTTTAAGTAACAGTCAGCTTTCTGGAGAGCTAGTGATACATTCCTCATTGATTCCTTCCCCCGTCTAATAGTTTCTGTGCTTGCAACACTTTTTCTTGGCACGTAAATTATTCTCACGTTTTCTTTGCTAAGCTCCTTCCCTGAAGGCACCACACATGAAGACCAATTACATACGTTCGACAAGAGAGATTATTTTTGTTATGTTTAAATGTATTCCATTTAGAACAGGATTGTGACACGCTGAAATGCAATCCCTAGTTCATGTCAATTGTTTCAGCTTTGAAAGTCATTCTTTCAGTTCACGTGGAGGGAACGGACTTTACACACAATAAAGACTCTGTATGGCTGGCAATTCAGCTGCAACATGGGATCACAAAAAAAATTACCCTTGGTCCCAGAGTTGATGACATCATTACGTGTTGTTTTGATTTAGTCTTGTCTATTTAGAATGTCAGCCTACTCACCTTATGCAGGAGATTATACAGGAGGGCATTAAAAACAGCTCCTCTTTGGTTGCTGGGTGATCATGATGTGCAGTCTAAACAAAAAATTAATCTTGGTTTGAGCAGCAGTTTTTCCAGGGTGAAAACTGGCATAAAGAAAAGGAGTTGAATAAAACGGTGCCGTAATGAATTGCTTTCTTCATTCTGTGAATGGAGGCAGCAAGCAGGAGCGCTGAGTTGCTTTATTGGTACACCTAGAAAACATATGAAGATTACATTTAACTTGTTCAAAGCAGATGTTAATTGAATGCATGGGAGAACGAGTGTGAAAAGCTATGAAGCTTTGAGTATAAGGTTAATCATTAACAAGTTATCAGAGGAATTTTTGCAGTATGCTTACTTGTTTAGTTTCTTGTGTTGTTAATTGTAGAAGTTTAGTTGTGAAGCTTTTAGTCGTTGGCTCTGGTAACATAAAGCACAGACCTTAGAAGGTACATTTCTCCCTCCAGCAGGGAAATCCAAACAAGGCAATTTAATTTAATGCTTGATTGCAAGGTTAATGGAATCATTGCACAACACAGCTGAGCTTATTTATTCACTTCAAGACAATTTGTGTTTGCATAGAACAAAGGCATTTTTAATGAAAAAAGGCATTACGAATGCCTTTTATTTAGTTTGTGATTTTTTTTTTTAAAGGTTGCAAATTAGCCACCTATGGTTTTGTCTCTTCTATATATACGGACTTGGTGTGTACCATCTGGTTTTTTAAGTTGATTTTGCATTGTCAGGCACAGCTGCTTGATCTGAGACTAAATTCTGCTTTTACTTTCATATATGTAACTTGCATTTATGAATACGTATAGATAAGAGGGAAGAAATTTGAAACTTAGGTTTGAGTAAATCTTTCTGTAATTGCTTACTTATATAACCTATTATTTAGAGAAGATAATTCAGACCTGTGCTGATTTATCATATCCTTGTGAATAGGACAGGAGACTATATTAAGGAATGTGAGCTTGTCAAGAGTAACTTTCATGCTGTTATTAGGGAAATGTCTATATGACTTTTTTAAAAATCCTCAGTGATGAAGTTCTTAAATAACTACTTCTGAGCAGGATTAACTTGGATTGTTTCACTTACAATTTAATTTGAGGTTGCATGAATTACAGGTCTTTGCATAAGAGTGTAAGGCATATAAAGGTCTTCCCAGCTTCTGATAATAAGGACCTGTCTCATCAGATAGCAGATTACATTGTCTTGGTACTTCCAACAGCTATGGCATTGGTGGACTCTAGGTAAAACACGGCTCAGGTGTTGAGCATGCTCTTCAAGAGTGTTTCTGTATCGTGGTTCAGATCTATCATGACTACAATGACAGTCTTAGAATCATAGAATCACATAATTGTTCAGGTTGGAAAAGACCTTTAAGATCATCAAGTCCAACCGTTAACCCAGCACTGCCAAGTCCACCACTAAACCATGTCCCTAAGCACCACATCTCCCCATCTCTTAGTTAAAAACAAGACCATATTCAGTTTAACTCTCGGAAGGACTTGTGACTGAAGCTGGCTTCTGGCAGTCGGTAGCATTTCCTGCTTTTGGCAAGATTTTTGGATAATCCCAGAGGAGACTGTGGAATCAGGAGAGGAGATGGACAGGGAAGAAGAATTGGAAGTGAAGCAGAAACCAAGTAGAAAGCCAGAGGACGTTCCATGCAGAGCACGGATATATCACTATTAATAAGAATGTCATTGAGTGCAGATTTTTTTCAGATGATATGATTTATAGTAATTTCTATAAATGGTAAAAATTACAGCTTTCAAAAATAGCTGAAGAGTATTATTTTGCTGTTATTTTGCATTTCATAAAAACCGATTAAGGTTATTTATATGTCTCTTGGCTCAGGTAGTAGACAACGCTTCACATTCACTCATGGAGTAAACCCCTTTGACTAGAGTATGTTTAAATTCACTAACTGCAATTTAATTTCTTTAATCCTGTTACAGTGACGAGATTACTAAAAAGATGGGTTAGTGTTCAGTGCTGGAGGGAGATTGTTAGACTACCTTCATAACCATGGGAACTTGGATCACACTTCAGAAGAGCTGAAAAGCAAGTTGAAGCAAGTCATTGAGTTGGGGGCAATATTGGCCTGTTCTGAAAAGTGGGGAGAGAAGGAGATGTCACTGCTTTTGGAAGGAGGCAAATGCCGCTGAAAGCAGAATTACAGACATGGTGCTGATGGATATCGCATAGAAGCCGCATCAAATTTTCTTCTTTTTAGTTTCTACTCTATTGTAGACAATGGAAAAATGTTACAATATAAGCAAAAAAAAAAAAAAAAAAAAGGAAATTTTTGTTAAGATACTCTTTATGTAGTTTTATAGTAGGATAAGACAGCTTTAAGTCCTGAGCGTGTATTTTCAGTTTTTCTTCTTAACTGAGACAATGCAGCTAAAATTAAATGAAGGTGTCTGCAACTCCTGACTTTGCAAATGAGGAGTTAAGTCCTCCATTCACAGAGAATATCTGTTAGCAATACTACCCCATTACTACCCATCTCATCATCATGGTGGTTTTGCTACTCTAGCAGTGGTAGCATGATGCATAAGAAAAGGGGAAAAACAGAGAAAATGTGTCTGGAATAGATGCATATAGAAACATAGACCGGATAGTCTTTGTCTTAAAATGTTAAAACATGACTGGGTTATATCTTATACTTTAGATGGACCCAACTGTTGTAAAAATACATAGAAATAGATATTCCTGCATTGTAATGGCAGTGGAATTCCCATCATCTCCTTCCCCCACAGCATCTCCTGCTCCTGCAATGCTCCCTCAGGAGTGTTGACATAAGTGTTTGTGGAGTTTCACAGTAAATGAACTTGCAGGGAGATTCAGCTGGTATTTTATGTGAATGGGTTTGTGGAGGGAGGATGTCCTTTCTGTCAGGAGAAGGAGTAACTATATCCATTGAAATCATCTACAGACCTCAGGAGATCTCGGCTAAGAAGGTTGCTGCCAAGCTATTACCACTCTGCCAGGAAGATTTCATGCCATCATTTCACAGTTCCTTCACTTCCAGAAAGCCCTGGGAATTGTACTTGCGTTCAGTTGTTATGATTAAAATAATTTATAAATTCTACTTTTCCCATTTTTTTCTTCACTAGAACAGTGGAATACCCCTATATAAGGATCCTATATACTAAATAAGCATAGCTTTCTAGAAAATAACTTAAAAGTCTCTAAATTGTTTTAAGATAATATAGATCAAAAAGTAAGTGCCAACACCCAAGCATTCATTGCTCACTATATCTGTGCTGTGAATCTCTGCAATTTGTAAATATATGCCCATATATAGTTGCTTAACAGCAAAGTCCCAGGAGTGGTGAAATTATCGATGCCTAACA